TAATCATTCTTAATTTAAGAATCTTTGATGTGTTATTTGGCAAATTATATCGTGCACCGCGGTGCATAATCGATTATGCACCGCGCTTCAAAATGGCGTCGTTTTGTTTAATGAAAAGAAATGGGGCCCGTTTCGCGCCGTTCCGCAAAAAGTAACCATGTTATTCAGTTTCTTTTTGTATACACTGCAGTTTCAGTTCAACACAACTACATTTTCATTTCAATATAACTACAGTTTCATTCAACATCTATACACTCAAATATGTAAAAATGTTATTTAATTTTATTTTATATATACACTATAGTATCATTAAAACACAACTACATGATCATTTCAATATAACTATAACTTCATTGCACAATATATACTCAAATATGTAAAATGTTATTCAGTTTCATTTTATATACACTGCAGTTTCATTTCACCACAACTACAGTATCATTTTGATATCAGTGCAGTTTCATTTGATAATATATAAAATAATACGTGATGCAGTGTCAGTTTAGATACACTGTAGTGTCAGTTTAGATACGTTGTAGTTTCAGTTGGTAATTAACACACCAAAAAATGCGCACTCCGTTACGGTGAACGGCACGCCGTTTCTTTACTTTAAAAAACGGCACCGTTTTAACCGCTGTACACGTACACAATATAACAACAGGTGTTATTTACTATTTAGAATAAAGAGATAGCAGTAATTCAATTCCAAAAATGGTATGAGGTAATTTTTTTTCTTTTCATTTTCCAACTATTATTCTTTATTCCTTTTTCCTTATGTTTTCTTGCCGACGATGAGAGCACATAACACAAACATACTAAGAATTTCCTGAAAGTCAACTACACATTATGCAACTATTACTTCAGAATTCTCATAATTTACAAGAACAACCATACCCTAATTGAAGGAAACAAACCATAAAAACTTCATATCAAATAGAAAACTATCATTCAAAGCTCAACTTTCAGATTTCTAAGGATTTTGGGATGACTTGCATTTCAAAAAACTAGTTATGAAAAGATGAGGAATAGTTCAAATCCAAGTAACCATTTAACTATTGTTAGGCACCTCACAATAATCAGTGGCCTTGAGAACTCAAAACACCAACTACTCTCCCAGTCTGCTATAGACCTTCACTTTCAAGCAATTACACTTCTTGTAAAACTAGTGTCATAAAAAGAGCAAAAAGCGATAAATATCAGTACATCTTAGTTTGGCTTCCAAGAACAATCAGAGTCTACTTCCCGATAAGTTGAAGCGAATCACATACCCCATCCATGTCCAAGCCCATAGGCATCCATATATCCAGCATGGGCGTTACCATGACCATGGCCATGGCCATCGTGGTGCTCGTGGCCATGACCGTGGTGGTGGTGGTGGTGATGGCCATCATGACCCGAGTTTTGTGCTTCGTTCAACATCTTTTGAATATGCTCGGGTACCTGTTCTTCCTCGGACGGTTTAATGGTTTTGGGTAAGGAGGAAACGAAACGATAAATGCTTTCAGCTACCTCTTCAGTACTGTGTTCCTGAAACCCGTGAGGAACACTTCAGTTATCGGATAATAAGTAATTAAATATCTATAGTATCTCTATGCTGAGATGTTAAAACGAAATTAGCTCTTCAAATATCTCTATTGCTAACCAACTTAGTTGGCGTGAGTGGTCGTGCTCTCTCATCCCTTAAGGGAGGTCAGGAGTTCGAACCCCCTCTCGTATGGAAAAACCAATCTGGCCAACACTTTGCCCCTTAATTGAGTCGGTCCAGTGCAAATGGGTATTAGTTTGAGTATGGTACGGCTTAAAGGTGCCTCCTAACATGTGTGATAAAGTGGCACTTACTAACATATACAATATGACTTAAAGGTGCCTCCTAACATGTGTGATAAAGTGGCACTTACTAACATATACAATATGACATACGTATAGCATACTTGGAGCAGACTCGAACAAATATATTTCCCTAAAATTACTGCCTTGAAATCTATAGAAAGAAGGACATTGTAGAATATGAACACCTCAACTTCAAGATGTCTTCCTAACCTACCTTATATGTTAAGAGAGGCAATTTATAAAGAACAGGTTCAACCTCAATCTATGAATTATTACTTGTTTCCTAAATAGCTTTGTCTTTCTGATAAACCAAATCTAACTAATTTCTATATCAGGAAACAGATTATAAAGTCATTTTGTTAGCAACTACATACAAAATTCACAGTGCAATATCATCATTTGATGCAATTATATGGATAAGCAGATAGATAATTGATCATCACCTGGGGCCACCTTCCACCGGAATGAGTTACAAATTTTGCCCGGGGAAGTGAAGCAGCAATATGCTGCCCCTTTTCGCCCCATTCTTTCGACGAGCCAGTAGACCAAATCACTTGCATTGGCAGTGCCTTGACCCCATCAGAAGCACTCCATTCGGCCAAATCGAGGCTATAATTTAGCCTCTTCCCCATCCCAACAATAGCTCTCCGGCCATCCCTTCCTGCCAAAAGAATCCTATGTGCCTCGGCATCTGACTTACTCACTGATTCACAACAATACTTTTCGAGGAGTCTCGTGAACAAGAACCCAGAGTGCAAAACAGCCTCCCTGATTACTGGCACTCCGAACGCCCACAAGGGCAATGCGGGTGCACTTGGTTCACTATCAAGAATGGTGACACTCCTTAAGGTTTTCGGGTTTTCAGATACCCAATTGGCACTCAAACTCAAAGCTGAATCATGGAGTACCAAATCCACAGGTGCCAATCTCATTGCTTCAATCACTTGCCCCAACACCCTTCCCATCTCTTCAGGACCCAACTCTATAGCCTTAACTCTTTTCCTTTTTGGAACTTCATTTTCCTCATAGTTCACATACCCTTTCTCAACCAGCTGATCAAACCCCCAAAACAGCCCCTTTTCCCTAATCTCATTGTACACATCCCAAACCCCCACTAACCCCCTTCCATCCCCACTCTCTTCCTCCACAACCACAGACTTATCTGAAAATCCCGACCCGGGCAGATCGATCGCAATTGCATGAACCCCTTTCTGACCTAACCACTTAACAATTTTCTGAAAGGCAAAAGTGCTGCACCCAAGCCCATGAACAATGAGAACATGGTCTGGTGACTTAATGGGCCCTTCTTGGATCGAAAAGACTTCAACTTGGGGGTGATTGAGCGCAGTCTGGACCTTGATGGTGCGGCCATTTGAATAGTGGCGGCGCAGATTGGGAGGCAGGCTGAGGAACCAGGCCTTGGGGTCTTTAGGAGAGAAAGAGGACAGAAAGATAAAGAATAGAGTGACGAGAGAGACTAGAACGGTGAAATAGAACCAGAATTGAAATGGATTAGATGTATTCTTGGTGGTGGGGGAGGTCCGGGTAGAAGAAGGTGGAGGAGTGCGGGGTTTAGGGGGTGGTGAAGTGCGGGCTTTAGGTGGTGGGGTGGGTGAATCTGGTTCTTCAGTTATGATCGCCATTGTAATGCTGGTGATTGCTGGAGTGTATTGGCATGAGCTCTGATCAAGACTGAAGGTAAAGATTCGTGGGATGAAGGCCTGCACTATGAAAAAGGCAAAAAGCTGTTTTTGAGACCTTTAGTTTAAGGTATAAATATATTATAAGTTTTGTTTATTTTTAAGGTATAAATAAATTATAAAGTTTATTAAAAAAATATATAAATTATAAAGTTTTGTTTAGCAAATAAAAGAATTTAGAATAAGTTTTTATTTAAACAGTTATTCAAAAATTTAGAATTCGAATTAAACTTTATAACGGTACGGGTTGACATGAGAATGACATTTGATGTGACCAACTTAATTAAGGCGTTAATAAAATTTAAATTGAACATGTTAGTAATATTGTTAATTTGTTGATTCTAATTGATTAGTATTGTTTTACTCCATTATTTTTTCAATATTGTTACCGTTCATTATATCATATTTATGTATGTGTATGAACATATATTTTGACCAGAGTTCACAATACATTGTGAACCCTGATCCACGATATAACAATTGATACCACCCTACAAAATGAGACTTTGAGAAAGTAATCTTTGGGCACGGTTTTGTGTGACTCTATACGCCTCTTCGAATGCTCCAATTTGTCATTTGTAACTCTTACAACGCCTTCAATGATCCATTTATTCCAACTTCCATACAAAACACTTGAAAAATACTCATATTTGCATTGAACATGAAAAATTGTACCAAAATAAACGAACAAAGCAATATAATATATATATATATATATATATATATATATATATACGGAGTATTACGTAATATTGACATTTTGACATGACATGAAATTAAATATGGTGCAAAACATTAATAAATATAAATTTATAAAATTAATTACATTCTTATTACATTTGTACATAAGTTTAGTGGCTAATTAACTAATTTTTTTTTTGAGGATTGACATTGATTATAGTTTCTAACCCGAAGGTCATTGACAATGCATGCGATCTCTTTCACCCCTAGATAGAGAAGTCGACAGTAACGTGAGTACCTATCCTAGTTGCGCGGTACTAACAGTAGAAGGAAGAAGAGAGGTGTATTATATAGAGTAATTACTTGTTGGGTGTTGCTAAAGTGGTCAAAGTTCAGGGCGGCATGCGATACGTGCAGATGAGTGTGTAGTTAGAACCATCATGGCTTGTTTCTTCTACTGGCTGCTTTCCCCTTGTCATTGCAATCCAAAGCTCTTGACTTGAACTTGCTTGAATTGAGGTAGATGACCCAAGTAATATTTTTCTTGTACGTAGGATGACTTGTAGGATGCACTATTGAGTTGGACTTTTGTTTGGGTTGAGGCAAAATGCTACGCCAAAGGGAAGAGGAAGAAGATGATTTTCAACACACTTACATTTGGGGGACCACAAAATTACACACATTATTGTTACTATGATCCACATAATATTTTGCTACATTATAATAAAGTCACTTCTGCAAAAAAAAAAAAAAAGTTAAACGTACCCAAAAAAAAATCTTTATTTCCTCTTGCGTCTCTTCCCTCTCACGTTTACTAAAGCGTGAAAGCAAGATTCAGGAAAACCACATACCTTATGACCTTATCTCGCTGTCTCATTCTATTTCTCCGATGACCACGGCGGTGACCGCTGCTACGATGTCTCTCTCCACCACCATGCTCCGCCGCTCCTCTACCCTCCACTATCACACTCGCCACTCCCGCTTCCCATTGATCTCCCTTCCGATTCCTCGCAAACTCCACTATCCCCTCAAATTTCCCTCCAGCTCAGCAAATTGCCGCGTCCTCATCGTACGAAACTCCAGCAACATCGCTGCCAAGCCATCCTCAGAGTTCCAGAAAAAGCCTCGCGGTCTCGACCAGGAAGACAGGCTTCGCGCCCTCCGCCAGCTCTTTTCGAGGCCTGATATTAACATTGACGCCTACATCATACCTTCACAGGACGCCCACCAGGTGAGGTTTCGTTACTTCATCAAGTTTCATGTCATTTCTGCTCACTTTTTTTTTTTAATGGAGGAGCAATCCCCCTCAAAGATACATTTGTTATTATTGTAATCCCCAAGGATGTAGGGGATATTCCAAAAGGGAAAAGAAAAGTTTGTGAATTAAGTTAAATCTTTGTTGTCATTAATACAGTTGTTTTAATAAATGCATTTCTTTTTTTTAAATTTCTAGAGTGAATTCATTGCTGATTGTTATATGCGGAGAGCATATATATCAGGGTTCACTGGAAGTGCAGGAACTGCAGTTGTCACAAAGGATAAAGCAGCCTTGTGGACAGATGGGCGCTACTTTCTGCAGGTTTGAAATGGGAACATTCATCAATTATTGCTTTGACTTTCATTTGTCTATGTGATGGCGGTGCCTTGTAACCAATACTCATTGTTGTTGACAGGCTGAGAAGCAGCTGAGCTCTAGCTGGATTCTCATGCGATCAGGTAATTGGGGGGTACCCACTCCCAGTGAGTGGCTCAACAGTGTTCTCTCACCTGGTTCCAGGATTGGAATTGATCCTGTGAGTACTACTCAAACTTTCATTTGTGTTTTTGGAATTTGGATTGATGAATATTTGCCTCTTCCTGTAAAAGCAGAATTAGAATGTTTCTTTCTATTTTGTCTTTTGCAAAAAAATGTAGAATTAGAATGTTATGCTGCTTAGGTTTGTTTATAAACTTTTTGGAACAGAGATTAGGCAGCTCCCCATTGAAAATGGGCAAAGCTGGTTGGAAGAATGTGTTGAACATCATTCTTATTTGGAGGACATTGTAAAACCTTTACCGCATGTTTGGTTCATGGAATGACTTTTAGGGGAATAGGAATAATGTTCCATAAGGAATGAAATAGGTCAAGAATAAATTAGGAATTCTATTCCATTGTTTGGTTCATTGAAAGCATTTTACTTTAGTGTTTCGTTGGTTTAAGGAATATAAATGGAATAATCATTCAAAAACAAATATACCCCTACCATGAATATTACGGAGTATATATAAAAGTGTGTGCGCGTGTGTGCAAACGTGGGCTCCCGCAAAAGGGTGTATATGATATTATGGAAAAATAGTTATTCTAGGTTTCCTTGTAAAAATCCTGTGAACAATTATTTTATTCTTGAATGTATTTTCTACAATTGGGTTAAGCCAAAGAACAAATACTCCAACACTACTTTTATCATATGCACTTTCAACTAGATGTGCAGTGTCCTACAAATTTATGCCATTCTTAATATTTCTCATCCTTGTCAATCTTTCTGTCTTTCCTATCTCCATTAAACTTTATGATTTTAAGTAACTGCTACATTTGATTTTGTCTGATAAGTCGCTTTCATGTTACTTGTGCGAAGGGAGCAGTTTTTGTTTTCATCAGATGCTGCAGAAGAACTGAAAGAGGACATATCTAAAGGAAATCATGAATTAGTCTTCTTGTCCAATTTAAACCTTGTTGATGAAATATGGAAAGAATCAAGACCACAGCCTCCTAAGAAACCAATTAGAGTGCATGACCTGAAATATGCTGGTGCAGATGTGTCTTCAAAGTTATTTTCCTTGAGGTCTGACTTAATTAATGCTGGTTCATCAGCAATTGTTATTTCCATGCTTGATGAAATTGCCTGGTTATTGAACTTGGTAAGTTCTCTTAACCTTCCTCAGGCCTCTTTTGAACTGTTGTGCTTCTTTTTTTTTTCCCCAACATTTTTAATTGAGGTTGTTGAAATTGTGTATCTGCATGGTGTATTGGTGCGCACATTTTTTAATTAAATTATTTTTTGACAATGAGAGATGTGAAATTGATTTCCAGACATAAATGAATGATATAATTTTGGTCCATTACAAGAAAAATGATGCAGTTTGTCGCCTCCAATTTTTTAGAAAAGAACTAAGTAAAATCATTGTAATTATATAATTTGTTGCTTATCAAATGATGTAGTAATAAATGAAAATGCTTCCTAGTGGAGATAGAAATGTGTCATTAATTTTTTTAGGTTGCTCATATATGACCACCATCTTAGGATGCCAAAATGGCAACATGTGTTGGAATTCAGATGGCACAGGAACTCAATCTCGTTCATCAACTTGGTTTCGTTTTGACATATTTTTCTTGTTTCAGTTCTTGAAAGGTTAACTGGTATTTGTGTTCTTATAATCTATTTGCCTTGTTGTAGCCAGTTTTGGAAGTAGTAGAAATGTTTTAGTTGATACTTGATAGTACCCTGCATGAATTTTCAAATTTCCATGATTTCATGCTCAACAAAAATTCACGTCTTTGTACTTCTAACCATAATGGTCCCTTTTTTTCCTCCACCCAAAGAAACATTGCAATCAGAAGGTAGTGGTACTTGTATTACATGCTTTGCCTTTTCCAAGTCTATGTTCAATGTTTCTTGGTTATTTAACATTGACATTCATTATCACTTGAGGGAAAAATTTGGCATTCATTATTCTTGATGATTATACAGAGGGGTAGTGATGTTCGACATTCACCTGTCATGTATGCATACTTGATAGTGGAGATTGATGGAGCAAAGTTATTCATTGATGATTCTAAAATCACACCAGAAGTTATGGATTACTTGAAGAGTGTAGGTGTTGAACTGAGAGCATATGAATCCATTCTTTCTGAAATTGAAAGGTGATTTTCAAGATTGTGCATTTATGCTCTCAACTTGCCTACTTGGTGTATTTTTCAAGTGCTATATAGCTAGTTTTCAAGGTTGTGCTGCTGTGTACCATGGTTGGTGTTTGCACAAAATTAGTACCATAGGATTAACAAAATGACCTGACAAGCACAGATTATTTTCTTAATGTCTATGCTTTCTCAGGAAAAGAGTGGATAGGGATTATGTCTATGAATATAATCAGGAACACTTTTTTTTTTATACATTTTTATGAAGAAACATGGCCGTATTCACTTCTGATATAAAAAGTTTCTGCTCAGTTTGGCAGAAAAAGGTGCAAATCTTTGGCTGGACAAATCAACTGTTAATGCTGCTATTACAAATGCATACAAGACTGCATGTGATAGATACTCTAGGAGCCCTGGAATCAAAAAGAGAAATAAGAAGAGCACAAATCTTGACACCAATGGTTTATCAGGGCAACCCCATGCATTATATAGGAGTTCTCCTGTGTCTATGGCCAAAGCTGTGAAAAATAGTGCGGAATTGGAAGGCATGCAAAACTGTCATCTAAGGTAATTAAAATTGAAGCTGCTACATGATTTTATTTTTTTATTTTTTTTATTTTTATTTTATTTTTATATACTTTTACTTGTGACAAATAAGTCATTGGCAGTGCATCAATTGCAATATGTAATATGGAGTATCATGTTGCATTCTTTCATATACTATGATTGGTTAATTTTCTGAGAATAACTATGCCTTTGATGGCTAGTTTGGCTGTTTGGTTTAAAGAGCAGATAATGCCTTCTTTAGTAATTAGAATAATAAATGTTTGTTTGTCCAGTATATATTGGATAAAAAATTTGCATGGGATATTTGTAGTCACAGATTAATTTCAATATTACTAGTATATTGCTGCAACAATAACAGACTTTCATAAGTCTGTCAAATACTTATGCATTAATGCCAACTATATACTGGAGAAATATATATCGTTTAAACAAAGATGCTTGTCTTTCTATACAGAGATGCTGCTGCTCTAGCACATTTTTGGGCCTGGTTGGAGGAGGAAATCTGCAAGGATGTGGGTTTAACAGAGGTAGAAGTTGCAGAAAAACTTCTTGAATTTCGATCAAAGCAATATGGCTTTCTTGATACCAGCTTCGATACTATAAGTGGTATATTAGCCCTCTTTTTCAATTATTAGGGTTATTTGAAAAGTAAAATTTGAATGGTTTTTTTCCCTCTATAACGGCACTTCTCTCTCTGATAATGTTCTTAGTTGGCATGAGCACATTCATACTCAATTACATGTTTGACCATTCTGCAATACTCTTAATTAGCTTCTATTCTTCTATGTACACAACATTGGCATTTGGTAATGTCAAATCTTTGGTGATGCTTTTGACCTCAAAAGTTAATGTTTTACAAAAACAATTAAATCCAAACCACTACTATGTCTAGTCGTCGTTTTTTTATAAACCAATGATCTCATGGATGTGAGTTTTAATTGTGCCTCAAAATAGTGCTTACATTTCCTCTCCAGTGAGTTTATATTCACACTTCATCCCTATTATATTGCTATTTCAGGTTCTGGTGCGAATGGTGCGATCATTCATTACAAACCAGAGCCTGATAGTTGCAGCATTGTGAATCGACATGAGCTTTTCCTTTTGGATAGTGGTGCTCAATATGTTGATGGAACAACTGACATAACAAGGACAGTCCATTTTGGTGAACCATCTTCACGAGAGAAAGAATGTTTCACTCGGGTTTTGCAGGTGTATATTTGCATGTTTATTTCTAGTTTAGCTTCTTGAGTAACACATTATTGTAATGGAGAGCTCTATTACCATAACTTGGTTGCTGTTTGGTTTTTAACTTGTTATCTGGTGGATTGGTGGTGGTGGTCACCACTTGCATTTAGTCAATGATAGTGTTTCTTCCAGCTGAACTTCAATCTTTTCAGGGTCACATAGCACTTGACCAGGCTGTCTTCCCCGAAAACACTCCAGGTTTTGTACTGGATGCATTTGCTCGATCATCCTTGTGGAAGGTTGGCCTTGATTACCGACATGGTAATTGTACTTTCCTTGTTTCTTTTTTTTTTTTTTGATAAGGAAGGAGATATTTCCTGAATGTTTGCCAGTTCCAGAAGAGAGATAAGTGATAGATGGAAAATGCAATTCAAGGAGCGCATGCATTTATTGTACTTGCATGTTTTCTACTTGTCGCGTTAACAAGGTTTATTCCATCTTTTACTTAGGTATTCCTTCTTTACTTTACTTTTTTTTTTTGGGTGTTGGATCTGTGTCCTGTCTAGGAACTGGGCATGGTGTAGGAGCTGCACTAAATGTTCATGAAGGCCCTCAAGGCATTAGCTTCCGTTTTGGAAACATGACTCCCATGGTGCCAGGCATGGTAGTCAGCAATGAGCCCGGCTACTATGAAGACCATTCGTTTGGCATTCGGATTGAGGTAGTGCACCCATTTAGTTAAATCTGTGTCCTCATTTCTATACATCATCTAATATATGGGTTTCTTGGTGGGGTTCTCTTGGCAAGTCAACTCAAGCTTGACTCTTTCTGCACACTTCTATAGTGCAATGGTGCTTATTCTAACATTTGATTGTTGTGTGGAATTTGAACCATGTTTTCCAGAATCTTCTTTATGTCAAGGAAATGGACACTCCAAATCGTTTTGGCGGGATTGGATATCTTGGATTTGAAAAGCTTACTTTTGTTCCTATACAGGTATTTGAGCTTTAAAAAATTATGTTCATCTAACATTTTTTGATTTCCTAGTCTAAAACCCTGTCACATTTCATGACACTTATTCTGTTGTATATTGGCATATGATGCACTTGACTCACCAGGCTTGGCAACCCTTGAATAGATGTTCATTGTAAATTTGTGTCATATGCATTGAAATTGTGAATGATATTGATTGATGATGAATTTGACGAACATCTCTTCACCTTTGATGTTTTTCTTTTTATGTTTTTGGGTAGGCTAAATTGGTTGATTTGTCAATACTCTCTGCTGCTGAGGTTGCTTGGCTGAATAGTTACCACTTGCAAGTGTGGGAGAAGGTAAACAGTTTAGAGTCACCCTTTCCCCCATATTTGTGAAGATTTATCCAAGTTGGAACAATTGTTATACCATGGACCAAGGTTCATATTGCATTGTAAATTCTGATTTAAAAATTGTGTCTGCAATTAACACATTTTGTACTTGCAGTTAACAATTTTTGTACCTGTAAACAAATAGAAGACACATAACATGGTAATTACAAACACATAACTTGATAACTACAGTCTACAGACACATAAATTGTTTACTGTAGTTATAATATATTAACTTCAGACATAAGATGTGGTTGGCTAACATATTGTGTCTGCTGTTAACATATTTTGTACCTACAGTTTGTCTGTAGTTATTATTCTATGTGTCTGTAATTACTATGTGATGTGTCTTTAATTTGTTTATAGGTACAAAAACGATTAATTGTAAGTACATAATATGTCAACTGTACATATAGAATCTGAAGATTATTTTTAGATAAGGGTCTATATAATTTGCTAAGTTGGAAGTGCTTTGGTTGGGGTATAAAGTGAGATGGATAGGTGGTGCTTTGTTATGAATAGAAAATGTGATTTGACAGGTTTCAGGTTTAGTGGATGGTCGTGCTCGGGAATGGCTATGGAACAACACAAGGCCTATCGATTCATCTCCAACTCCTACTTAGTTAGTTAGTTACTCTTTACCGCCATACCCCATACAAATATACGTCTGTTGTGTATATCAAGCATTCAACCCTAAATATTTGTTCCAGTATGTCAAACTTAATTCGCTGTATTTGTCTAGTTCAAGTTTGGTGTATGTATGGAATAGTCCAAAAATGAAAATATGCTTATTCCATCGTTTGTTAAAGATATTTTATTTTCAAGAATATTATTCTCAATAATGACTTATGCACATATATAAATAAAACAGGGTTTGTAAATTCAAAGACAAGGAACCTCTACTAAAATTAACTCATTCGAAAAATAATTAAGAAATTAAAGAGACGAAAATGCACTTCTCTACAATAAGATTTTTTTGGAAAGACAAAAAATATTTAAAATATTATATGAACTTCTGTTGGAATTAATTCATGAGAAAAATAATTAAAAATTTTAAAAAGATGAAAATACACCTAAAATAGGTTTTCACTAAAAATAAAATCTCTTATATAGAATTAGATATTTACCAAAATATGCCATAACTGAGAGATAAAAAGTATTTGTGAAAAAAAAAAATCACATTCTTTCCAACATCCAATAATAAAAAATATATATATTTATTGCAATCACTTTTAATATTTCAAAAAATAAAAATAGAATTTCTATTCAGGGAGGGAAATTCCTGATTAAGGCTAGAATTATTAAAACCATCACCTTCACTGTAACACTATATATATTTTCTTCGAAAATGGTACAGCCCATACACATGGCTATAAAAATAAAAAATAAAATGCTGTTTTGTTGGAAGTTGCAAATACAACAATTAAGTAAGGTGTAACTAGTTTATTAAAATAAGAGGGTAAAGTTTGAGTGTTTGGTGACTATAGAACTTTCTGCGCAGGATCGGATCTCGACAGCTCATTGTACATTTCAGATATTGCTTGTGCAAAGTATGCTTTTGCCTGTGGCCTCTTCACCTACAATACAAAAACAATAACACAATTCGTTATAAATTATGATTTATTCATCGGCCTTGTTTAGCAATCAGCAGTTAGCAATTAACAGATTAATTAGTGGAAACTCACCTTGAATGTGGGTGTAAGAAGACCATTCTCGACTGTGAAAGGCTCGACCACTAAGGTGACAGCTTTTGCGAATTCAAAGCCTCTCAACTGTATCGAAATAAGAAGAGGGCATGAAGGAAATTGAGAATCCCCGGATTTAAACGTAAGGCTCCAAGTTGAATAAACCAATAGAGTTATAGAGGTAGGTTACAAGCAATAGTGTACCTGAGCTTCCCTTCCTATGGCGTCCATGTCTGCTAGAACGGCAGCTTTGGCTCTCGGATCGTTGCATAATTGTTGCAAACTTTCATACTGTTATCCAAACATCATCTCAATTCAAACATAGTCAAAAGGGTTATCTTTCAATTCTAGGGATATAAATAGGCTACCTTAATGCCCTCAGATGAAGCCCATTCCTTCAACACATCGGGATCTATACAAACTATAGATACAAGAGACGAGTTCAAGCTATCACCTGAACGCATTAAACAAGTGAGTAGACGCCATTGTACAAATACTCCAATGCAAAAAATCCAGTTTTATTTTTACCGTATACAAAGCATTGTGCAACAAATTTGCACTTGGCATAAACATTCTCAATTTTCTCCGGAGCTATGTATTCACCCTGAGCCAACTTAAATATGTTCTTTTTCCTGTAAAGAACCGAGCATTCATATCACCAAACAAAAACAGTATTTTATGAATTCCTAAAATCATAATTCTTCAACAATTCAACCATTATCCATTTTGATCAGTAAATATATAGTAAACAAATGCATCCGAGCCATCAAACTCATTATGATGGAACATGATTTCTACCTGTCGATAATCTTCAAGCGGCCTCCAGGTAACCACAACCCAATATCTCCAGTATGTAGCCAACCATCTTTGTCAACTACCTCTCTCCTGTCAATTAAGAATGTTAGACAAGGCCTCCCTCAACAAATTCGTCCAAAACATTCTAACCATACAGCAATGAAAAGGTGTATACGTTTGCACTTCATCTTTGTAATAGCCTTGGAAAACAATGGGGCCCCTGACACAAACCTCTCCACGAGGATGAGGTTGATCCTCAGATGTATAATTCATCTCTGGAACATCAACAAGCTTGATTTCTGGAAGTGCATTAAAGTGTCAACTCAGGTAACATAAATCAAAGAGTTTACTAGCTCACATAGTTATTTCAATATTTTACGTCTTCTTATGTGCAAGTTGTAGACAATTGATGAATCTGTAGAGTTTAGGGTCTACATGCATTTGTGTCAGTTAAATATAATTCTATTTTTTTTAATGCTACTGACTCTATTACATTGTAGTATCTGTTCAAACATACTTTCTGAGCGCTCCACTGAGGCTCGATCTCATGACCCCCACATGGGAGAGGTCACTACATGCCATCTGAGCACAAGGTGCTTGGCCAGTTAAATATAATTCAAATGAAAGAACAAAGTTATTAAAAAAACGTGACCATATTACTCTTTCCTAGTCATAAAAAGCCAGCAACTTACCACATGCTGGACTTGGAGAACCAACGTGGCCAGTTAAGGTGTCACCTTCATCCATAGTGCTAATAACACACGAAGTCTCAGTCATGCCATACCCTTCAGTAACTTGACAGCCAAAACATCTGGCAAGTTGGAAGCACTTATTACAGAACTACTCCTCAATGTTATAAATTCACTTTATACTAAAATCAAATTTATAGTGACAGAAGCACAATGAACTTACACCCTCAAGAACTCCATGACATCAGGAGATAATGGTGAGGCACCTGAAGTCATAAGACGAACCCGACCTCCAAGTCTGTCCTTTATCTTATTGAACACCAATCTATCCCACATAGGTGATGGCTTTCTACCTGAATAGAGCAAATGAACAGTCAGCATAGCAACTACATTGGGACCACAGGTGACAAAGGGAAAGTCAATGCAATAAGATTTATTGCTAAGTGCAATATAATACTCACCATTCATGATAGCTTGCTTTTTGGAGTTGTAAGCAGCATTAAACAGTCTTTCCCTTAGTGCTCCAGAAGTTTTCACAGCATTTGTGATCCTATGGCCAGCAAATCAAAGAGATATCAGAGGGCATTTCAGAAAGATGCATACAAAGTTATTAATTATCATTTCACCACCATTACCCAGCATATATTCTGTTGTAAAGGCGAGGGACACTGCAAAAAATTGTAGGTCTAAGAGCTGCCAAATCGTCCATCAATTTCAGATTGTCCTGCAATCCAAGGGATTTCAGTTTGAAAAGTTTGGCTCAGAGAACTATGCAAAGCACAAAATGATCTCTAGGTATCACTGCTTGAAAATATGCCAGTATAACTCATTTAGGTTGCTGGCAGCCTCATTTAGATTTCCTGCAAGGGTAAGACCAAATATCTCCAGAGACCAGAATGATCGCAACAGTGTACATGAGACTATGGGAGAACTATACGAGGCCAAGAAAGAAATGCACATACTATCAAAGTTTAGACAACTAACCATCCCTTCAATACGAAAGAAGTGACAAACAAATTCAGGCAACCTCCAGTGCATAACTGCCTATGTTACCTTTCCATAGAAAGTGATATTCTTAATAAATGTAAATACTTTCTGAAAGAAAGTAAATCCTTTATTTCTATTTTTGAAGAATGTACTTGCCCGAAACAACAGATAGAACAGTAAAAAAAAAAAAAAAAAAATGCAACAACAAAAAAGCAAGGGTGAGCAAAACTATGTCAAGTTAATTGACCTACCCCCTGATAGAACCCAACAGCAACTCCAAAATATGCTGATGTAATTTGATTAGCTCGTTCATAGATATGTGCCAGAGGTAGATAGGATATGTATCTGTTAAGAGGGGAAAAGTCAATAGATAGGCAAGCCAAAAATGTAAACATGAACATACAGCAAAGGAAGTCCTTAGTTTTTTCTTTCCCCCAAATGGTCTGGCACCTCCATGAGGATTAATAATTTAATATACTTCTGTTAATATCAGTATAATCCTTAAAAAAAATTAAACATGAAAAGTTGATAATTTAAACTCACATGTCTGAGGGATAGAACTTGATTGAAAGGGTCATCCCTGCCACACTTGCTATTAAGTTTGAATGTAATAATACAACACCCTGTATTATTAGATTTATACAATTCATTAGAGAATTAAAAAAAAAAAAAATTCATTCGATTTATAAAATAGAGTTAGCAAGGCAGTTGGAAAGAGAGCCTGATAGAGGACATGAAACTTAATTCATAAGTTCAACCTTCGGTGTCCCTGTTGTACCGCTTGTATAGCATATGGTAGCAATATCTTCAGGCTTGGGAGGGTGAAACGGCTGAATATTGGCCCGACCCTAGAAAAAAAGTGCAACATAACATGACTAGAAGTTCTAACATAATATTCCTAACCACATGCAAATATTCTGAAGTTCACAAAACAAACTAAAAAAGCCTGGTTGCTACTGCAAAAGGCAAGGAGATCAGATCATGAGATCATGGATCTGAATGAATCCTCACAAATGACTATGATCTCTAGTCCTTGGCGGAAAGCTAAGAACCGTTATACAAAGTTGCTCATGTTAAAAAGGATGTTGTGCGTCATTAGTTTGTTTTACTTTTTATTCTCTCTTTTTGTTGTCAAATAGTAATTCAGCAGCATGTTTTAAAATCTACAAAGCCGCCAAGGTTAAAACCATTGCCCCATCCAAGGTTAAATGCTCCTAATTAATTCCCCCAAGGAAACCCAAAAAGCAATAACATTAGCCATCTATGCAAAACCATAATAAAAGCCACTTATCTAACTAATTTCAGTAAAAGACTTGCATATGCTGGCATGCTGCAAATAATCTAAGAGCAACAACAGTCAATAGTAGACACAGTTTTTATTTTCCAATGCTGAACCACTATCCAAAGTATATTGAGAAAGTTTAATTCAAGATACCTGAGTAAGTAGCTTTGAATATGATAATAGCTTAATTCCAGTTCCCGATGGAAGAGAAGGGAAATGTTCATCTATCCCTCCCACTACCTATGATAATGATGACAGAAAAATGAATGACTCATGAAAATTTTGATCAAGCATCGTTAATAATATGGCAGGACAAAGTTCAAAAAGGATGAGAACCACATACCACTATGACACGCACACTAGGAATCTC